GGAGGGAGGAAAGAAGGAAGGAAGGAGGGGAGGAAGGAAGGAAGGAGGGGAGGAAGGAAGGAGGAAGGAAGGAAGGAAGGAGGGGAGGAAGAAAGGAGGAAGGAAAGGAGGAAGGGAGGGAGGAAGGAAGGAAGGAATCCAAGTTGTTAAAAAGATGTTTATGGAGGTTCTCCGTCAACCAGGTCACAGTTGTCCCAAAGGTTTTTTTTTCCCCTCCAAAAGCCAACTGGACTTTCTGGATTTTTTTTTTCTGAAGAGGTTTCACCTCTCATCCGAGAAGCTTCTTCAGTTCTGAGGAACTGATCTCCTCTGCTCCGAAGAACTGAAGAAGCTTCTCGGACGAGAAGCAAAACCTCTTCTTAGGAAAAACCAGAAAGTCCAGGGGCCTCGTTGGGACAACCTTGGCCTGGATGACTAAGGAAATCCCTTCATCCAAGACAAGGACGCCCTCCCCTCCACCCCCGGACGCCCCGCTTACCGACACGATCCGCCGATAGGTCTCCGAGTGGCACTCGCTCTCAAAGGGCGGATTCCCCACCAGGAACTCGTAGCACAGGATCCCGATGCACCAGAGATCCACTTTCTCGTTGTGGGCTTTGCCCTCGATCATCTCGGGGGGCAGGTAGTCCAGCGTGCCGCACATGGTCTTCCTCCTGGCGGAGCAGAAGAAGATGGCGACCCCGGGAAAAGGACGCCAGAGGAAGCCTTCCGCGCCCCAAACCTCTCACCCACCCGGTCGGTGGAGGGGAGACAGACCGACCCACCTGAGCGAGGGGGCGTGCACCGACCAGCCGAAGTCGGCAATCTTCAGCTCCCCTTTCAGCCCCATCAGCAGATTTTCGGGCTTGATGTCGCGGTGGATGACCTTCTTGTTGTGACAGTAGAGGAGGGCGTCGGCCAGCTCTTCCATGAACTGCAGAGAGCGGCAACAAAGGAGGAAGATGGGCGGGGGAGGTTGTTGGTAAGGCCACCCTCTACGAGAGGCCCAAATCGCTCCCAAATGCCCTTTTGGTGCAAGAAGGAAGGAAGGAAGGAAGGAAGGAAGGAAGGAAGGAAGGAAGGAAGGAAGGAAGGGGAGAGGCTTGCCCAAACCCGCCTCCTCAATGGGAAATTGTTGCGGGTCTTTTGGGTGCTCTCTGAGCTGGGTGATTTTCCTTGCAGGCGTTTCGTGGCCCAGCTAGGAAATATCATCAGTGCTAGGAGGGAGGGGGGAGACATGTGGAGAGGAGGAGGAGAAAAGAAGAGGAGGATGAGAAGAAAAGGAGAAGGGGAGGGAGAGGAGGACGACAGGGGGAGAAGGAGGAGAAGAGCAGAAGAGGAGGAGGAGAGGAAGAAGAGGAGGAGGACAGGGGGAGGAGAGCAGAGGAAGAGAAAGAGAGGATGAAGAGGAAGAAGAGGAGGAGGAGGACAGGAGGAGGAGAAGGAGAAGAAAATAAGAGAAGGAGGAGGAGAGCAGGAGAAGAGGAGGAGGAGAGGAAGAAGAGGAAGAGGACAGGGGGAGAAGGAGGAGGAGAAGAGCAGGAGGAGGAGGAGAAGAGCAGGAGGAGGAGGAGAGCAGAAGAAGAGGAGGAGGAGGAGGAGAGGAAGAAGAGAAAGAGGAGGAGGAGAGGAAGAAGAGGAGGAGGAGGAGGAAGAAGAGAAAGAAGAGGAGGAGGAAGAAGAACAACAACTCTGGGGTCTTTGGTGCTCTCTGAACTTGGTGGTTTCCTTGCAGACGTTTCATGAGCTGAGTATGTAACATCATCAGTGCTAGAAGGGAGTCTCTTTACCGGAATGTTCTTGGTGTTGCCTTGATTAGGCTGTTATTTCATGTGTTTGCCTTGAGTTGATCCCTCCCTAATTGGGGAATTGTTCCCTTGATTGTTGGTCCAGTGTTAATCTCTGCTTATCTGAGTGTGGATGGCTGGTTTTTCCATTGTCTGTTTTACACGGTAGGTAGACGTTGTTCATCTCTCTGGGCCTGTCGATGGCTGATTTGTCCGAGAACCGGAAGTTCTCTACAATTTTCCAGGAATGGTCTCCAGATTTTGGGGCTGGGCTTGGCCTAAGCGTGCACCCCTCCCTCCCCAAGTTGAAACTATGGTCTATCCATCTGTTGTGAAATTAACCAATGTCTAATTAAAGGCACCACCAAGAACATTCCCACAAACAAGGGCCAGGAGAAAGTAGTATACAATATATATAAACAGGGAGCAAACCCCGCCCTCCCCAACAAGGATGATGTTACCTATTGGGGTCATGAAACGTCTCCAAGAAAACCCACCAAGCTCAGAGAGCCCCCCCCCCCAAGGACGCCACAGTTCTCCTCCTCCCCGCCAACTCCCGCTCCCTCCTAACACTGATTCCATTTCCGAGTTGGGTCTTGAGACGTCTCCAAGTAATCCACCAAGCTCAGGACACACCCCAGTCCGATCCTGAGCTACAAAGATTCTCTCTTAAATTATTAAAAGAGAGGCCCGCTGCCCTCCGTTGCACCGAAAGAGGAGACCTAAAACCGCCCACTTTTTCCCATCCGAGGACAAGTTGCTAGTCCTCAACAGCGGGGCTGACCGTAGCCGTTCTCTGCTCGTCGAAGCGCTGGTACTTCTGCAGCTCCTTGAAAAGCTCCCCGCGAGGGGCGTATTCCAGGATCAAATACACTCGCTTCTTGTCATGGAAATAGTTGTAGAGGCGCAGAATGTTGGGGTGGCTGCGGGAGGGAGGAGACACCTTGAATGGTAACCCCCCATAATAAAAAAAAAACATTGTCTCCAGCTTTGTTCCCCCACCCCCATTTTATTCTGTAAGAACCCTGCAATCTCAAGCAGTGTAACCTCCCTTTGAGCACTTGGGGAGGCTACGGAGGTAGTCCTCAAGTTACGACCATAACGGAGCAGGGCCATCAGTGCGATCATCATAAAGACGAGCCGTTTGCCAAGCACCCCCGTCTTTCGATTAGGGACGCTGCAACAGCCGTATGGGTGGAAAGCCGTCCGCCGCAAGTCACATTTTTCCGTGCTGTGGTCGCTTCAAACGGCCACTAAATGAACCGTGATAAGAGTGGTGCGGTGGCCTAGAGGCGGAGCTCTCGCCTCACAATCAGGAGGCGGAGAGTTCAATCCGAGGTAGAGGAAGATATTTCTCTCTCTCTGGGCACAATAAGGATGTATCTGCCGAACAAAACTCCACATTGACGACAGGGAAGGGCATCCGGCCAGGAAACACTCCGCTCCATTCAGTTTGCCCAGAATCCACCCCGCAAGGGATTATAGGGTCGTTAAAAGAGAATGATGATGGCTAAATGAACTGTTGTAAGTCGAGGGACTACCCCTATATAGATTTATATATGAAGATAAATAGGTAAGTGAATTTAAAGGCCGCCATATTTTGGTGTCGTGGGAATGATAAGGTCACTAAGCTTGGTTGTAAGCCGAGGACCGAGAAGCCGCAAAAGGCTCAGCCCGCTCCCAACCCTGACTCGAAGCCAGCCCAGGTGTGGACCATAAGCTGGGGTTCAGGACGTACCTGAGATGACATTGGATCTCGATCTCCCTCCGCAGCTGGTGCTCCACTCCCTCCTTCTCCATCTGGGATTTGAAGAGCACCTTGAGCGCCACAATGAACCTGGAGTTCTTCTCCCGGGCCAGATACACGTTGCCGAATTTCCCTTTGCCCAGCGGCCTCCCGATCTCAAAATCGTCGATGGTGAAGATCCGACGCGGCCTGACACAGGCAATGTGGGGCAGAAGACAATCAAGGTAGAGAAATAAATAACTAAAAAGATAAAGGTTCCCCTCGCACATCTGTGCTAGTCATTCCCGAGACTCTAGGGGGCGCTGCTCGTCTCCCTTTCAAAGCCGAAGAGCCAGCGCTGTCCAAAGACGTCTCCGTGGTCATGTGGCCGGCATGACTCAACGCCAAAGGCGCACGGAACACTGCTCCCTTCCCACCAAAGGTGGTTCCTATTTTTCTACTTGCATTTTTTACGTGCTTTCGAACTGCTAGGTTGGCAGAAGCTGGGACAAGTCACGGGAGCTCCCTCCGTTACGCGGCGCTAGGGATTCGAACCGCCGAACTGCCGACCTTTCTGATTGACAAGCGCAGCGTCTTAGACACTGAGCCCCCA